ATTAGCTAATACACCCAGGAATCCTCTCCCAGCTTCCAATATTCTCCTTCAAGACCCCAGGACTCCTGTGTGGACCCCACTCTTGCTTGGTGTGGACAACCAAAGCCCAGGGGCCATGCGTACCTGCACTGGCTGCTGTCCACACTGGGGGCTACAGGACCATTCTTATTCTCTTCATTCAGTTTCTCTACTTTTCGCCACTTTGCCCTGCGGTTCTGAAACCACACCTATGGAGAGAGGAAGGCACCTGAACTTGAGAATGCTGGCAGAGACAGAGGCTTGGGGGTGACTGTGGAGTGCCCTTTACTGGGTTTCAGCTGCAACTCAGCTTAGACGATTAAAAAGATCTCTGCGGTGTTTGCCTTCCTCTTTTAATTGGTTAATGCTGTGGCTGGTGGAACAGTTGGGACACCCTTGCATCTGAGACTAACTTCAGCCTCTGTCCCAGCTGAGGCTGAGCACATGCCCTCTTCTAGATAGTTCTAACCGGCAACTTCCATGTTACTCTGCTGACCAATTAGCCAGCCCCCCTTTACCATGATGCGTTGGGGGGTGACCCCCACCATCTGGGCAATCTCGTGGCGCTTGTCACTGTCAGGATAGTGGTCTTCCTGGAATATCCGCTCCAGGTCCTCCAGCTGGTCTGCAGAAACAAGACACTTAATGGGGAGGCCAGACACCATAGTAGGAGAAAAGAAAAGAAGATGCTCATAGCAGATAAGGCCATTGGCTCCAGCCCACTAGCCAGGCCTCCTTTCATGGAGATGGTGTGATATATACATCTCTGGCTCTTCTATCCAGGCTTAACAAGTCAAGACAACTTGCCTCACCTTCCCTTCAGGAGTCAAAAGTGTTGGCATTGTCATGGACAAAAAGAAGCATGCAGGACAAAGGGACTAACCACACCCCAACATCCTGAGGCCACACCTTTCACAGATCAGTTTCCTCCATCTCGAGGGACTAACCTGAGCGGTACAGGGTTCGAGTCTTTTTCCGAAGTTGACAGGTGACTTCTAGGGATTCTTTCTTCAGGTCTTCCGCTTGACTCTTCTGGGTCAGTGTCTTGAGGAGACTGGGGGCTTGGCCTGGCTCAGAAAGCACATGTTTGTGTGTAGCACACGTTGAGTGACATCGTAAAAGATGATGTTAATGCCAAAGCCATGATGTTTGGCCTTTTGGGCTTACCAGGGACTGCAGAAATGGATGACTTCACTCTCTTTGGCTTTTTCTCTGGAAGAGAGAAAACTTCTCCCTGGGGTTGGGGACTACATGCAGCTGGTGCTGGGTCTTTGTGCACTCTGCAGGTGTCAGCAGCTACTGACTCCCCCGTGATCTTTGACAGTGGCCTCTTTCCTGAGCCAGCTCTGGGGAGTGAGGACCTCTTGCCATGGTCATCTTGAGTAGGTGGGGCAGTTTCCCGTAGAGGTACCTCTGTCTCCTGCTCAGCAGTCCTGGCCTTGCCACCAGCTTCCTGGCCTATGGAGAGCAGTAGTCACTGGCCTCTGAACTGGGTGGTAGGGTCCCTTCCTCCCTGGTTCTAATCTGTTGTTAGAACCTAAGCTTTCCTTTGCCTGTCTACCAAATGAGGCCTGAATGCCAGTCTGACCTTCCTAACTGGACAGTCAGGAGGATGGATTAGAGCAGTGGTTCTCGACTTGCCAAAGGCTGCAACCCTTTAGTACAGTTCCTTATGTTGTGCTGACCCCCAACCATAAAATTATTTTTGTTGCTACCTTGTAACTGTAATATTGCTACTATTATGAATCATAATGTAAATATCTGTTTTTTTTTTTTCTCATGGTCTTAGACAGATCCCTGTGAAAGAGTCATTCCACATCTCAAAAGGATCATGACCCACAAGTCGAGAACCCCTGATTTACATTAATCCAATTGCTCTGGAAAATGTAAACGACTACTTGCAAATATGCATGGTCTTAATGTGAGAATAGTGGAAAGCTGGGCACACATTTTCTCAAAATTTCCCAGATATCTGAGGTGCAAGTTCAGGGGACAGGCATCTATATTTCTAATAGACAGTTGTTGGGGAAGGGGTGAGTAGGAAGAGAGCTGCAGACAGGCTGCCGTTCTGGCTTTCCTGTTCCAGAAGGAAAGCAAGATACTATGGCCTGCAGAGGAGACAAAGCAGGCTCCTTGGGGCTCCACAACACAGGCACAGGCAGAGGCTATCTGTGGGGATCACAGGAAACATGTCTTTACTGTGCCCTTTCCCCTCTCCCTCCTCAATCCATGTGTTTTGGATCCTTTCCACCTCTCCTTCCACCCAGTCCAACTCTTCTGCATATGAGAAAAAGCTCCCATCCGGAGGGAAAACCTCTTCCCACCCGGACGCTCACGCTCCCAACTCTGAGGCAACGCTTACAAACCATGCTTGCTGTGGGTGCTAACACTGATCGCAGTACCCATTTGATCGCCCCACCAAAAGACAGGCACTTCCCCTCAGGTCAAGAAATGGCGGCAAGCTTGCTGAGTAACCAACCCAAGACCACACAGGGATAGGCACAGGGGCACAGGCGACCCTCGACCACCTCCTAGAATTTTTCCCAGGATCCCAAACACTTCCCTTCTTTTCTTCATGTACTCAGAACACAAGAAAACCCACCTCCCGGAGTTGCTGTCATTTCCAATGAAACCAGAAAATGTGTAAATAAGTGCTAACTAGAGCCTTTGATGTTGACTCGAAAAAATAACTTTCTAACAATATATAAAGCTGGGGGCAAGTCCCGACTCAAGAGCCTCTTCCAGACGATTCTAAATACACCATGGAACACTTCAGAAAGTAATGGTGAATGGAGGGTCACTGGAATAAGTAAACTTCCTAGCACTTTCACAGGGCTTGTAGCACAATAATAAATATGGTACAAAGTAGACACTCAGCGAACTTGAACATTATTGGGTAATGTACTTTAGTGAGAAGGGTGAGTGTCAGAACCTAGATTAGACCAGTGCTGGAGACCAGCTTTCTACCTCAACCCTTCTGGATGATCCCTAAATAGAAGAATGTAGTAAGGTCGGCTCTCTTCCCCACTACCACCCACAGACCTAAGCAGGCTCTTAAGATTGGCAGACTGGCCCGCAGACTTCATGGGCTCAGCAAGCTCTCCCCAAGGACGACCCCCATGCGTGCTCACCCCGCAGTTTCCTGCTGAGCTTCTCCGTGGGTTGCATGGCCCAGACTCCCACTCCTCAGCCCTCCCTGGTACAACAGGCGCAGCCTTAATGAAGTACGTGGGTTGGCCAGGTGTGTGGAGTCTGCACAAGCCAGGGAGCACAGCCGGAGCTTGCGCCCCCAACCCCACCCCCAGGGCGAGGCGCCGGACACCTGTGGTGGGGGTTGGGGAGGCTGGGAGATCCATCCCGCAGCTCCTTGCGAGCCTTTATGCAGCCCATTGGGCACCAGATGCCCTAACACTGGGGCAAGAGCAGAGCAGCAGCAGTATTGCAGACCTGTTTGGGTGTCTTTGAAGGTGATGTTCCCAGGTTCACCCACATCCCAGCAGGCAGTGAATGGATATGGTTGTGGTTAGCTCTTGACCCTTGCTTGTGCAGAGAGATCTCTGAAACCACTCATGAAGATGAGACAGTCCTTCTACTGCTTGCTTCAAGGTTTCTTGTGCCTCAAAGTCTGAACTGACTTAAGTATCCTTAACATACAGATCCAGGGGCAAAAGCAGGACTGGAGCTGAAAGTACCCCAGGCCTGGAGATTATACTTCTGGGATCCGCACAACTTTGTGTAGATGAGGTTCAGGCTTGTCCAGGGTTTCTTGCTGTGCTTGCCCATTTAATACCAACTTTCTAATCCAAGACATTCCTGGTTCCTGGAATGTTTATTTCTCTTTGAAAAAGATAAATTACAAAATTATTGTTGCTTCTTACCACAGGAGTGGGAGGGGGTGAGGAATGTAAGTGCTGGCCAGATTGAAACAGCTGCTGGGAGCTGGGGCATGAAGATCGTGCCCTGACCAGAGAGCAGGTGTTTTGATTTCAGTATTTCAAAGCTCCTGGACACCAGGCGGTTTCCTGCCGTATTAAACAATCAGCTACCGGGAATGTTTTCCTGTGTCCTAAGACTCTCTGAGAGGCTTCCTGTACACAGAGAGACTCTAGAAGGCTGTAGGAGTTTTAATTCTTTCTGCAACGTAAAAAGATAAATTAACTAAGGGCTAGTAAGATGGCTCAGTGGGTAAAAGCACCTTTTCCCAAAACCTGATAACCTGAGTTTACTCCAGAATGAAAAGTAGGAGAGAACTAGCTCTTAAAAGTTGTCCTCTGACCTCCATAGTCTTGGGGTGGTGACATGAGCCCTCACATAACACACACACACAGAGGAGGGCAGGGATAAAATTTAAAAGATTAAAATGCAAACTAAATAACTTTTAGTAATCAGAAATTGGGGCATCTGCCTTTCATTCTTATGCCCCTGTAAAACTGATACCAGGTTTAAAGAGAATTTTAGGCACAACATCCAGTTTCTATGATAGAAAATCTGTAGCAGTCTAGGTCAGGCAAGCCGGAAATGGGTGCAGGCTTATTTGGTGGTGACGTGGTTGTAGCTGGAACACTGTGGTTCACTTGAGTATACACTTAGAGGACAACGACTGGGTATCAGGGACTGTGGGAAAAATGACTGCCTTGCCCACAGCAGCTTATTGGTAGACACAGGTGAAAAGAGTAGCTCAGTAGAATGGGTCATGTCAATGCTACATGGTCCTTACCCATTGATGGCGACATAGGGGGCAAACAGGAGGCAGACTGGGGAACCCTGAACAGCAGAGTCTCTCTTGGACCAAGAACCACTTCTTAGAAGTGCTGACCTTGGCTGTGAGCTGTGTGACTTACCATGTCACAGCCTGCCTACAAGCAAGCCCTCTCCCTTGGAATAAGGGCCTTCCAGAGGCTGACCCTCTGTGCCCCATACCCAGGTGTTAGGAGCACTTTGAACTGGTGGTTTTTAAAATATTCTGAAACCCAGCCATGAACCAGGATTTTAAATTTTTTTAATTTTTTTTCCCAAGAATAAGCTTTTTATTAAATGTATCAAAACCACATGGAGTTCCGCGGCTGAACAAGTCCGTGGAAACAAAAGAGTATTTCTGCCGCCTAAGGCAGTCTTTTCAGAGAAATAGATCTGTTCCTTTTCAGATGGGAGGGGATCCGGAAGGCCACAGCCACATGGTGCTGCCGACCAACCGTAGAGCTGATTCAATCCCAAGGCTTAAGGGAAGCAGCCAGGTCCCTTCCGCCCTCCCACCTGGGAGCTGTCCAGGGTCCAGCCTGGCGGGCGCCACCTGTGTCACCGGCGATATCGGTACCGCTTGAAGTGGAACCAGAGCTGGAAGATGCCATTGGCGAACTGGCAGCGGAAGCCGTGGCGGTGCGAGTACTCCCACTCGCGGCTGACGATCTTGAAGGCGATGTCCTCATAGGGCGGGCCAGCGTGGAAGCGCAGGATGGCGAAGTCGCGGTTGTCTGGGCAGGCCTCCAGGAAGTACTCGGGCGTGGCGCGTTTGCGGATGAGGTCAGGGTAGAAGATGTTGAACTTGTAGCCCTGCACGATCTTGGGCGGCGGGTTGTCGAAGTCATAGTGTGTCTGGTTGTACTTGTTCCACTCAAAGCCCGTGTGCACGCGGTTGAAGAATCGCGGCTTGCGAGGCCGGTACTTGTCCGCCCACAGGTAGGCGCGGCCGCTAAGCGGCATCTCCACGCTGAACTGCGCCTCATCCTGTCCCATGCCCTCACGGGCACGCCGGAAGAAGATGTCTTCGGCGCTCTCGCTCGCATCCCCTGTGGCCTGGAGCTGCTGGCGTGAGAGCTGCAGCCGCTGCAGGTCTTCATGTGGCTCCAGCACATGCGCGTCCAGTGGCAGCTCATGCGAAGTGAGCAGCTGTGGGCTGTAGCGGCCGGCGTCGTAGTCCGCCAGGCTCTGCTGGATCAAGTCCTCTTCCATCAGCACCGCCTCCCCATCTGCCTCAGGCTCTGCCTCCGCCTCCCCGGGTGGTGGAGGCCCCTCAGGTTCCGCGGGGTCCACAGACGGCCCGGGGCTGGGGTCCTGCTCCTCAGGCTCAGGGCTGTGAGTAGCCGTGGGCTCCGACTTGAGGATGGGGAACAGTGGCTCGCTCTCCACACCTTGCTCCTGCTTCAGTTTGAACAGCTTCTGCCGGAGTACATCCTGGTGACGCTCGCGGAGCCTGGCCCTGGCCATATGTGCACGCAGCTGCTGCAGCAGGCTCTCCCAGTAACCCATGTCGAGGTTGGGGCCGCCTGCGCGAATCTTGCCCTCAATGCCCTGGAAGATGACCTGCAGCTGGTTGTAAGTCTTGCCCTTGAACACCGACTGCACATCTGAGCTGACAGAGGCGTTGACTCCCTCACGGCGCTCACCCGGCCCTTTGCCTGAGGCCTCCAGCTTTCGGAGCTTGGCGATCTCGTCCTCCGTGATGGTCGTCATGTCCCGCCAGAAGTCCACATTCTTGCCCTGTTCCAGCTCCATGTACACCTGGATGTCCTCCAGCAGGTCCTCCATGTCAGCCACCGTGAGGCCATTGAGGAAGGTGTAGGGCTCGTGCATCTCGACGGCCAGGTCGTCATCCTCGGCGCTGATGTACTTGGCCAGCAGGTCGATGGGCTTGGCCCGCCCATCTCGGATTCGGATCTTGGAGCGAAGCTTGGCCTGCCGGAGGTGGAAGCTGTCCTCTTGCTCCTCCCAGGTCTTAAAGTGCTCTGCCTCCTTCTCCCGCTGCAGCAGCTCCAGCTCCTGCTCCCGCATGGCTTTCTCTCGCTCCCGCTCCAGCCGCAGCTGCTTCACCTTCTGCAGCTCCAGCCGGTTGTCTTCTTGGATCCTCTTGTTGCGTTCCTTCAGCTCCTTCTCTTCCAGGTGGCTGATGCCTTTCTTCTCCAGCGCCTTGTTCCAGATGAAGGTGCCCAGCAGGTTGTTGTCCCCAAAGGGGTTGTCGGTGTTGGTGTAGCCCATGTACTCCTCGCCCCAGCCCATCTTCTCCCGCTTTTTGCGCTCCTTGGCTTCCTTCTTGGCCAGTCGCCTCGCACGCTTCTCCTCGGGCGTCTCGAAGGCCTTGAGCATCTCTTCTTGCTGCCTCCGCTCCTCACGCAGCCTCAGCCGCTCCTGCAGGCTCTGCTGCTGGCTCAGGGTCAGGGCGGCTGCCCCAGGGCTCCGGGAGCGTCTTGGGGATTCTGAGCTAGATGCTGATGACCCTGGGGACCACGAGCGCCTACGACCCCGCCGGGCCCTGGAGCCTCGTGGCAGCTCCTCCCCAGAGTCAGAGTGTGAAGAATTGTCCTGTGGGTGCCATCGGGGTGGCCGAGGGTCCCGGCTTCGCCTCCCAGACCTCTGCCGCCGGTCTCCCTCGGAATCTGACCTGCGTCCCCGGCTGCGGCGCCTGCGTTCGCGCCGCCTGCGTTCGCCCCTCGTGTTCCCGTCGCCTCCGGATCTTCCGCCCATGGCTCTGGCTGCGACTGCGGCTGTGGCTGTAGCTCCAGCTCCGACTCCTCCGATCCCTGCGACCCGCGGACTGGGAGCGCCAGCGACTGGAGCGACCCATTTGACAGTCCGCGCCGCGCACGCGCGGGCGTAAACAACCAGATTGCTTGGCGCCGGGGGCTTTCCTTTGCTGCGGCGCGCCGGAGTCTGCCCCGAGGCGCCTGATCCTGGAGAACGATTTATTCCTGCTGCTCCGCCCTGCGTGGGCGCCACAGCCTGAGACATCTCTTGGGTTCTCAAGTTAGACATGCATGAGGGACTCCGAACGGGTTACGGTCACACTGAGCGGGGAGACTCTCCATCAAGGCAATGAAGTAGACTGGCCCGGGCGGGTCCTCGCGCCGGCCCGGGGCGGGCCTGAGAACAGGGCGTGTGTCCGAACCAGGATTTCTTAATGAAGTTGTTTAAAATGGGCCCTGAGGCTTCATTCTCTGAAATCTTAATTACTACTAGTCAAAGGAGGGACCCCAAACACGTACTTTAACAAGAACCTTGGGGGATTTACTATACCTCATAACTGAGCCACTTTTAGATTTTTGAAAAGTAAAGTCAATTAAAACCTTTCTCGAAATGCCTTGGGGTACAACTCAGCGGTTTGGTGTTTAGCATGTTCAAGGCTCTGGGGTCGATTTTTGAGCACTGCAGAGCAAAATAAAACCATACTTCTGCGGAATAAATGTGGAGGCTATAGGTGATGGTGGCCCAGAGCGGAGGGAAGGAAATGACTTTTCCCCCTCTCCTAGGGTATCTCCTTGCAGTGAGTGGCAGGATACAATTTTTAAATGCGAAAGGAGTGTAACCTATCACATTAAACAGAAAACAAAAAATGTTATCCTTCTGGCCTTTGCTCCTGCTTTTTTGTCTTTTTCTTATGGGCTGCTCTCTGGGTGAAGGTTAAAGATTTTTGTTAGGGACTTGGGGTGGGGGATTTTTAAAGGTTTGTTAATTTTCCAAACACGTAATTGAATTTGTTAGGGTTGGGATATAAAGTTTGTTTTCTCTTGCTTCTGAACATCTGGGCTTATTGTGATTTCTTTCCCTCAAAATGACACAGTTCAGTGCTTTCTTTATTTACATGAAGAATGGCTTATACTTGATTACCAGCGGATTTTGTTTAGGATGTACAACACTGCCTGCTTGATGGGAAGCGACGGTGTTGACAATAAGTGACAGTAAGTCCTACCTCTGATGGAACAACTTGAAGGGAAGGGATTGTGTCATGGCAGTTAACACTTGTCAGACAAGAAAGACATCCCTGTTCCATGGGAGACCACAAGATGTTGTTTTAGGGTCTCAAGGATGTTTATTTCCAAGTCTTGTTTGGCAACATTTCATCTTCACAGTTTCTGACTGTTTGATATATTCAACTGTGTTTGCATTTTTGTTTTTATTGGTTTCATAGTTTATAGGGACAAAACAAAAACTACACTACCCACCCCCCCACCATGCAAGAACCATTTGTTACAACATCTTTTTCTTTCTTTTTCTTTCTTCCTTCTTTATGGATACAATCATGGAAGAGCAAATGAAATGCACCAGCTGCTGTTAGGAAATTGTTGTCGTCTCCCCCCTCCCCCCAGAGCTAACCTTATAACTGGGGTGAGCGAGTAAAGTAAGCTCTCTTTGTCCATTCCCTTTCTTTTTTATTTACTGATAACCACAAGTAATTGATGGCAGAAAAATATGTTCCAAGGCAGTTGTTCTGTTTTGAGCCACACCCAGGATCACTGGGAGGGCTGAGACCAGAGATGCAGGAGTAAGTTGTGACATGTGGAGATCTACACAGGTCTAGGATAGTGAGACCAGAGTCTCAGCAAACACGGGAGGCCAGGATCCTGGAAAAAGAGAAGTTTTGGTGTGAAGCATAAAAACCGAGAAAGGCTCAGGCAGGCCCAGGGTTAGAGACCACCACTTTCAGAGTGTGAAGAGGGCAAATAGCCAAGTGACGCAAAGCTGATAGTGCCACTTCTGGGGACAAGAAAGGAGGAACCACCCATCTCCAGCCAGAGGCTCCTTTGGAAAGCAAAGGACAGGATGGTTTGAGCTGTTGGTAAAAAGGATTGAGGACACCTGGGTGAAGTGGGCACTGTCCTGGTAGGGCCAGATTAGATCGGGGTGTGTGGATTAACATAATAAATCTTCATTCCTTTGCTTAGAATGCTCCAGATTGGGTTTTGTGCTAAGAATGTGGACTGTGAGTGACATGTGACTGCTCTTGTTTGTAACTGACCTCCACTGTCTTCGATCTGAAATTTAGAAAATGCTTTAACATCGGCTCTATTACCATGGGTCTGGTTTGGAGGTGCTTTCTCCTTTCTATTCTCTTTTTGGCTTAACCAGAGTTATAAAGCTGGGATGCCAATTCCAGCTCAGCCTGCAAGTTACCCCTAAAGATTTGTTCTAACCTTTACCAGGGCTTGGCTCCCCTCTGTCCCAGCCTTTGTTGTGCCTTTCAGTCTTTCAGAATGGCCTATGCCTCAGGCCAATAGAAAAGCTGGTTATCAGCCTGGAACATCTTTACTTCCCTTCTATTTCAGTCAAAGTCTTACACATACTTCAAAGCACAGAACAAATCCTCAGTTTTCTATGGAGCCTGACTCAGCTAGAGTTTATTGCTCCTCCTTTGTACTGTCCTTGAATTATACTGTGTTTATATTTACATAGCATTATTTAACACAGGCTGACCTAGCTAGAATTTTGCCAGTCCTTCACAGGATTGAGTTCTTAGATGATAACTTCCATCTATTGTATGTCAGATATTTCCACTTGCTTAAAAAAATCACTCATTTTTTTACAGTTCTATTATTAGCCCCGTGTTATTGACGATAATAGTAATAGAACTGTTGTGGTGAGCTTACTTTCCCAAAGTCACAGTGGCCAATCATGACCCTGTCAGTCAGTTCCCTCCTGAACTCCTAGGCATCAAGTTAGAGTGTTTACCTGACTCTCAATCACTGTGATTGATTGATTTATTTACATATGGCAGACTAGTAACTAGTCATTGCATCAAAAGTTGTTCACCAATACCAAGAGTCAGGCTGCAGGACAGGGAAGATAGCCAAGGCTATAAAAGGGTCTCGGAGCAGTCCTGACTCTTGACTGCCTTGAAAATCCCATAGGTCTATACAGGGAATAAAATTACCCCAAACTATATTCACACACAAATGCAGAAAGAGCTAGTGAGACCTAAGTAAGTTCTGTGGGCTTCCTATGAGATTTCACTGGAGCTGAGCCTAATGAGCCCATGGGGGAAGCTGGGCGAAGGGTACATGGAATCTTTATATTGCTTCTGACAACCACATGTGATCTAACCATCTCTGGACAAAAAAGCAGGAAAAAAAAAAAAACCCTTCATTCCTGACCATAAATTCAGATTATTTGGGCTTATGTAAGTTTAATTCATAAAATTAAACACTGTATTTTGAAGGTAGTCGTATTGCTAATTTTGTTGGCAATTTAAAATAATTTATTCTTGCTCATTTTAAAAGATTTGCTTATTTATTCTCTCTTTCTGTGTGTGCATGCTTGTGTCAGTGTGGATTGTCACAGCTCACTTATAGAGGAAGTCAGAGGATAACCTGCAGAAGGGAGCTGGCTCTATCCTTCTACCATGTAGGTCCCAGGAATTCAATTCAAGTCCTCAGGTTTGGTGACAAGTGTTGCTTCCAACCGAGCCATCTTTCTGGTTCCATTTGTTGCTTCGTCTGTGTGGCTTGAATGTCGTGGTGCTGTGTGGAGATAAAAGGTAAAAGTACAGAGTTAACTCTATCCTCACACCTTTACAAGGATTAAAGAAACAAATTCCAGCTGTCAGGCTTATCCAGCAAGTGCCTTTACCTGCTTACCCATCTCACTGGCCCTATTGATAATAATTTCTAAATAGAGATTTAAATTATATTAATTTCCTGAACAGGATTGTGGACAGCCTCATTCGTTTTAAAAGTAAGAGAAGGTATATGTCTTGCAGTGGGAATTTATTAGAAAAATAATGGTAAATATGTAACAGTTTGACATGGAAATATTTCTGTTGAAACAACAGTATTAATCATTGACATGTTGATGCATTTCCTTACTGCATCTTTGCTTTGTGGTGGCCTTTAATATTCATCACGATAGTAATTACTCTCTTTGTAATTTTAGACATCTCTCTTTGGGAAGGTATGGTGAAAAGCAGTTTTGTATCATTGCAGAATCTTCAGACTTTAGAGTGAATCTTAGACTTTAAAGTAGCACAATAATGCAACTGCTCTACAAATATTAGGAGAAAAAGTATTTTAACTTAATGTTTACATTTTAAAATGTATTTACTTTAACATTATATATATTTACAATGTATATCAGTGTTTTGTCTGCATTTATGTCTGATCCTCATGTGTGTGCATTGCCCATGGAGGCCAGAAGAGATCATTGGATCCCCTAGGATTATGAGTCCTGTGTGGGGTCTGGGAATCAAGCGCAGAGCCTCTGGAAGAGCAGCCAATGCTCTTAACTACTGAGCATCTCTCCAGAACCTACATTTTTTTTTATTTAAAAAGGAAAATTTACAATAAAGCTTCTGTTTTTTTTTCTTTGTGGGCTTCCCACTACAGTCTTGCAGTTGTTACTGATTTTTAGCACCTTGTTTTTTTTTTGTTTGTTTGTTTTGTTTTTTAATTCTCAAGTCCATTAGGAGTTTGAGTTTGTCAGAATGGTCTGCCTGAATGGAAGATGTAGTGCCAGAATGCACCATCTAAGAGGGGTCATGGAACTGTGACTATGTCCTTTGCAGTCTAGCCGGGCAGCCATAGAGGATAAACACGTATCTCTGAGTGGGTCTTTTTCCTTGCTATGGCATGCTGGGGCTGCAAGACTTTCTCCAGGCCAGGGTTAGTGGATCCTGTTAGGGTGTGCTTGGTGAGACCTCAATTCCCAGGAAGAGGCATCCCTCTCTCCAGAGCACCCCTACCCCAGTTCTGCTCGTATTATCTAGACCTGAGCCCCTATACCCTATGTTTGTCACCTTCCTTGTCCTCTGTGTTCCAGGAACCTGCCAGGACTGGGACAAAGAGTATAAAAGGTATGGTCATGTCATGGGCTCCTCTGGCCTCTTCCAGTAACAAACTTTTAGCCT